TCAGTTGTTATGTGAGCTCGGTTGGGCACTACTTTTATGCGCACTTCAATAATTTTCAGGTACCTTGCTTTCCAATTGTGCCCTCCGTTTTCATCTTTGGAATTTGTTAAAGAGCTATCTGATGAAGCTGAGCATTTGTTTGAAGCGCCGGCAGTCTCCATTTCCCCCCAAAAAATAACAAATTTACTTCATTTTTAAAAAATTAAAAAATATACAGAAATTTATTCGAAAAAAATATGAACAGTGGACAGAAATTGGTTGGCTGAAGAATGATGGTGTTGTGTGGGTCTGTTTTGTTTTGTGTCTGGGTTGTACATTTTGATTGACTTGTTTGTGTTCGGGTTGGTTGCAGCGAGGATGTCGTCGGGTGCACCTGTGACGTTTCAGGCTGTTGCGGTGCGTGAAGGGGCTAGGCTGGCTGCTTTGCAGAGGTGGAGGGGGAGAAAAAAAGCACAGTCATATCCAGGTGCATTTTCTTGTATGTTGCTTTTTTATTTTATTTTAGGTCTGTGTTAAGTTTTCTTCAGGGGTGAAATTTTGTATCTGTATGTGTAAACTATGTTTGGCTTTCCTCGCCGGTTTCTTAAGGTGCAGTTGCCGGTACAAGTCAGCCAGTTTCTCGGTTTTCGCCTATTGTGGGCTCGCATAAGCGTGCCAGGGAAGTTGCTTTGCGAAGGTTGGGTAATAAGAGAGCAAGGTCGTCGTGTTCGGGTCATAATTCCGCTTTCGCGTCCAGTGGTGTCCGCGTGTCTCAGAATCGCGCTTCAAATGCAGATGATCGGACTATGCCAGGGTCGCAGGCGATGCGCAGAGAGGCTGGTTTTGTTCTGCGTGGGGAGACGGTAAGAAGTGGCTCCGTTGTGAGGCCGCCCGCAGGTACCTTCTATATAAGGTTTCTGATTACTGTATGCATTTGTGTGGTAGAACTTCAAATTTGCTGTTGTATTTTAGGTGCGAACGATGGCCGTCATTTGTTGGATAATGTGCCCGCTGCTGCGTACACGTTGCGTGTTCAGCGCGATTGTCGGTATTGCGGTGCCAGGAAGATTGTGTACGAGACCATTAAATGTTGTTGTTCTGAAGGTGCGATCAGGTTGGCCTCTGCTCCACTGCCTGCTATTTTAAAGGACCTGTTGCTTTCGAACACTTCTGAGGCTAAATTTTTTAGGACTTGCATCAGGACAATAAATAATCAATTTTCATTCACATCTTTGGGGGTCATGTATGATAAGGAGTTGAGCCAACGAAATAATGGTGTGTATACTTTTAGAATACAAGGTCAGATGTACCACTTTCTAAATGATTTAGAGTCGTCTAACAATTTACAACTTTATTTCCACAATACTGAGAATGAAGTATCTAATCGTATCATTGCCTGTCCATGACTTACTGAAAATATCACTGTTAAGGTTTTGAAAGTTCTTGAGGGAAATCCGTACGCTAGATTTTTTAGGGGGTTAAGTGCGGTGCAAAATTTAAGTGATTGTCGTATAATTTTGCGCTCTGTCCCTGGTTTGGATCAAAGGACATATAATCAGCCCACTGAATCTGAGGTGGCTGCTTTGTGGGTGGATGGCAGTGGCAGTGAAGAGCCCTGTAAGCGCGATATTCGTGTTAGTTGTGCTGGTGGTGCCTCTCATAGGATACAATATTATTTTGGCTGCTATGACCCATTGCAGTATTCGTTGATGTTCCCTTTTGGTCAGGTTGGTTGGCATGAGGGAATAGAGAAGAAAAATTGGACTGGTGCTCAATCAAGTGGTGGACACTGCAGGGCGGTGAGTTCTGTTTCACCGTGGGCGGCGGTGGATGCAGAAGACATAATACATAGGGAGGATGATGGTACGTGTTTGCATTTCACTATTTCTCTTAAATTAATGGTGCAGAAAAAAAAAATTAAAATAAATAAATTGTCTGTGTATTTTTACACTGAAAAACAGCCGTTGTCGTTGCGTCTGACAACCCTAATTATGTGTCTTTGCAGGAGTACTATGCGTACAAGTTACAGGTACGCACCAACGATGAATCTTTTTTACTGCATTTTGGCAGGCTTTTCCAACAATTTATTGTTGACATGTATGTTAAGATAGAGTCCCAGCGTTTAGACTTTTATAAAACACAACAAGTAGAGATAAGGAGCGAAGTAATGGCTGGTGTCCAGGATTCCCTGGCCAATGGGGAAACAGAGGAATCTATGGTTGGCCACAGGATCTATCTGCCCTCAGGTTTTATTGGAGGTCCTCGAAACACGAAGCGTAGATATATGGATGCCATGACTTTGGTTCAGAGATTTGGTAGGCCAGACCTTTTTTTGACAATGACTTGCAATCCAAATTGGCCAGAGATGAAGTCTTTGTTGTTGCCTTCCGATGAGTCGCAAAATAGACCGGACATAATAGCTAGAATATTCAGGGCTAAACTAGAAGATCTGAAAAAGGATATTTTAAAAAAACACATTTTTGGTGAAGTTGCCGCTTATACTTATACGATTGAGTTTCAAAAGAGAGGACTGCCGCATGCACATTTTCTCTTCATTTTGAAGCATCAGTTCAAGTTGTATACGACCAGTGAATACGATAGGATTGTGTGCGCAGAAATACCAGATCGCGACACATCGCCGCACTTGCATAATATGGTTGTCAAACACATGTTGCATGGCCCTTGTGGCAAAATGAATCTTTCAAACCCTTGCATGAAAAAGACTGGAAACTGTAAAAATTTTTATCCAAAACCTTTTTGTCATGAAACAACTCATGTTAATGATGCTTACCCTAGGTATAGGCGCCGTGATAATAAGGTGCGTGTGAAAGTGAGGGGCCATGAACTGGATAATGGGTGGGTAATTCCATATAATCCATATCTACTTGCTAAATATATCTGTCACATCAATGTAGAAGTGTGTTCCACTATAAAGGCCGTGAAATACATATACAAGTACGTTTGTAAAGGCCACGACAGAATTGCATTCCATGTGGATTCAAGTAAGCCTTTTGATGAGATAGACGAGATAGAGCAGTACTGCACCGCCCGTTGGGTATCACCACCCGAAGCTGCTTGGAGGATCTTTAAGTTTTTTATGGGCGACATTATGCCTGCGGTGATTCATTTGCAGGTGCATCTGGAGAATTATCAGCGCTTATCCTTTAGGAAAAGAGATAGATTACATAGGATTGTATCCTCACAATAGGAAAACCATGCTCACTGAATTCTTCTACATGAATGCTAATGATCGTTATGCACAGTCAAAGAACTTGACATACCTAGAATTCCCTGAATATTTTGTGTGGATGTCGACTGAAAAGCGTTGGAAAAAATGGTCCCAGCGAGGCACAATTGGCCGATTGGTTTCTGTACATGTGAACGAAGGGGAGCGTTTTTATTTGAGATTACTTTTTCCAAAGTACGCTGTCCCAAATCGTTTGATGATCTTAAATGTTTTAATGGCAGGCATTGCGGTGGCTTTCGTGAGGCAGCATTGGAACGCGGACTGTTGGAAGAGGACAATAGTCAAGAGATGTGCTTGGAGGAGGCTTCGTGGTACCAAATGCCTTACGAGATGCGCAGGTTGTTTTGTAATTTGTTGGTTTATGCATGTCCCAATAGTCCTAAGCTTTTGTGGGAAAAATTTGAGGAGCATTTGTGTGCAGATTTTTTGAGGCACTCTGGTTGTACAATTCCTAGGGCACGACAGAAGGCACTTGTACAGCTTAGTGGTTTTCTGGAGTCAATGGGTAAAAATATTACGTCTTTTGACCTCTTGCCTATCAGTCCAGAATTCCAGAGTCAAAAAAATACGCGTGACGTAGATGCTGAGAGGAATATAATTGTTTCTCACGAGGACCTAAATGCTGTGGGTTTGCTTAATAGAGAACAGAAAAGGGCGTTTGATGTAATAATGAATTGCATTGAAGAAAAGAAAAAAGGTGCTTTCTTTGTGGATGGACCGGGTGGCACCGGAAATCTTTTCTTTTTAGAGCTTTGCTTGCGACTGTGCGGTCTAGAGGTTGTATAGCGCTTGCCACTGCAACATCTGGCATTGCTGCATCCATGTTGCCTGGAGGTAGGACCGCACATTCTAGGTTTAAAATTCCAATAGATTTATCGGATATGCAAAATTGCACTATTAGCAAACAAAGTTGTTTGGGGTCGCTCATATGTGAGAGCAAGTTGATTGTGTGGGATGAGGCGCCAATGGCTAAAAAGGATGCCATT